CCTGGCTGAAGTCGGACGCTCCACCGACTGCGCCACCCAGGCGCCCCTGTAATCTTCTCTTAAAATATGCCATTGCATAATGCTCCGTGAGATGTTGGTAAAGATGAGGAAGTATAACAACGCCTGAACAAAGTTAGTCCTCAGATTTCAATCAGAATACCGTATTCCAACTTTAAGCTCTGATCCTCTCAAATGAAAAATATGTGAACTTATTCTCTATGCTTACCCCATAACTTGGCACCCCAACTGCACATGCTAGAATAGTTATACTCTTGTGTCTATTAAATGGTTTACCTTTGCAGTGTTAGTTCTTATCATTCCCTTGAAGATCCTGAGAAGCATTTTGAGGGTTTAGTTCTGCATAGGTTATTTCCTGCTCAGTTATCAAAATGGAAGTTTTAGTGCCCTTAGGTTTTATTTGCTGCCTCTTTGAGTATTTAGCCACATTCAATTCTGCATAAGTTACTCTTTGGTTATTCATCTCTACAGCTAAGCAAAGTCAGGGACTGTGGTCCAAGATAAGAGTACTTGACAATAAATGGTACATCTAATGCAGAGACACCTAGTTCTATAAAACTGGGGGGAGGGTGGCAGGTGAGAATTAGTGTTCATTTGAAACTGAAAAATCTAAAGATCTAGTTCTAAATTTCTTAAAGAAACAGACTTTTCCTTATTCATCCCACTAAATATAGCTAGAACTCCTGGGCATTATATATAATAAGACAACATGAGAAGATTCAGAAAGGTAATGAGAAAGCTGGCAGATCCCAGCCCTCAAGACCTGAGGAATGACACGGCGGTGAGCTCCCTGGAATTTCTCTTCACCTCACATATCCCTTAAAGAAGAAAAAATACATTTATGATGCTGTATTGTTAAAAAAAAATGTGTGTAAGTGGACATATCTAGTTCAAACCCATGTTTTCCAAGGGCCAACTGTACAAGTAATTGTAATAATCCAGATAATATAATTTAATAATTCAATCAATGGGCTCTCCGTCAAAAAGATTTGGAATTAATTCTGGCCTTGAAACATATAATGTGTGACCTTTGAAAAGTTACTTAGTATCTAGGATCTTAGTTTACTAATCTAAAATGGTAATAAGAACGTGTAAAATATAATGCTTGTAACACTTAGCACTCATAAAATATGATGCTTGTAACACTTAGCACTCAACTGGAATTGAGTGCTAAACAATTGTGTTCATCCATCTTTTCTCAGCGTTTGATTTTTCTTCCTGCAGATTTGATAAGCTCTCAATAAATATTAGCTATTTTAATTATTAGTTACAAGTCCATGTTATTATTTCAGATTCATATCAAATTCTATAAAATGGTTTATTAAGTAGAATCTCTCTAACCAGGATGATACACTTTGTTTACAATGTTTGTTCATTTTTTTAAGTTCTTTGTCTATTACTAAGCTTAAATTAGCATTTTACAGAAGCAATACATCCTGATTTTTATTAAAAAAATCAAGGTGCTTTTATTCAATCCACATAAGTGTAGAAGGAATTAAGTTTGGCCTTTATCATGCAGCAAACTTCTTTGCAAGAATTTATTTACAAAGGTTGAACGAGATATAATTCAACATATTAGTATGTAAAAAACACCTTGTACTGATTATAAAATCCAAAATTAAATGCTCCTTATGATGTTTGTGGGTTTCACTTTAAATTATATTGATTTACAAACCGAAATATGAGTGTGTATATGTATTCAGCTAATTTTCTACAGGCAATAACTTGAATATTTTAAGAAATATTTTTATACTTTACAGATATTTTTTATGCTGAATTATTGAAAGAAAAACACCAATATTCTCCATAATTTGATTATATATTAGTTGTGCCTCCAGTGCACCCCATCTAGCATTTGTAATCTCCCCCTGAATGAGGTGGCTAATGGAGAGAAAAGAAGATAATGACCACCCCTTCTGTTGGCCAGAAAGCTGTGGATCCTTTGGGGGGAAGGCCAGGTTACTCTCATAGAGGCCTGCTATAGCGAGGGTATAAAAGGAGAAACTTGACAACCCAAATCCAGGACAAGAATACATATTTTCTGTGACCTTCACAGATTGCCCTGGAAAATCCCAGAGTGAAGCAAGCATGGAAAAAAAGAGATTTCCCATCAATGCATCAATTAAGGTTTGAACAGGAAATTCTCACGTCTGGGCCAATTGAAGTCCGTTTATCTTGTCACACACTTTCAGAATGCAGGACACTTGGGGCTCTGACTGAAAGGGCAAATGGGCCTCTAAGTGAGTCATTCAGAGTCTCCATTTTTAAATGCGTCTGAAAAAATATCTTCATTAACGTACAAGATTTGGAAGGATGGTGGGGTTGTTTCTGTCTCAGTCACAAACCCTGCAAGCTTAGAGTTTATCTCAAGTTTAGCTTTCAGAGCTAGGTTGCTGAATCTTGACATTGCATATATCTTTTTCTCATATCCACATTATTGCATTCTATCATCACAGAAAATTTTCTAAAAATCACAGTCTTATCATCAACAGGTATTTAATGATATTTGTTGCTACTTATTCTGAGGAGTTATTACATTCCCACCCATATTATACCTAGCACAAAATCAAACGTTCCCCACATAACATCTCTAGTCCTCCACCCCAGTTCTTGCATTCAGTTTCATTCTTTTTAAATAAATAATTTAATCTGCAGATTTCCTCTGGTAAAAATAAATGTCCCTTGGTGAGATTTAACATAAATAATATTAAACTATATCACCATGCCAGAGGTTGAAGTATCAAATATAACTAGTCATTATATCATTCATTAATTCATCACCCAGTTATGACTAACAACTTATAACTTATACCAAACGTTTCCTCCAGACCTATGAGAGCTACAAGAAGTAAAAGCACGAGACTTAATCAAATGTGTGTTGTTTGATATGCATTAATTGATTCACTAAACATAATTATGAAGATTTTATAAGGTACAGTGAAGAGAGACAATCGCTGGAATACAGTGGTTTGACATGAGGAAAAAATGGAAATAATTGCAATAGTGTAGGAGCAATGACAGGGATGTGCAACTTGAAAGAGAACCACAAAATCAAATTCTGGTGTGGGTTGACCTAGGGAGGAGGTTAAGAACAATTTGATTTTGAGAGAGAGTATCGGATTTGAGTCCTAAAGAAGTATTACGCGTTAATGACATAACGTAGGGGAAAAGCAGAACAGAGAAAACCACATGAAATCACAAATAAACAATTATGGTCCTCATGGCAGCATTCAATGTTAGGAGGGCAGTGAGAGGAAATGAAGTTGGAGAGAGAGCAGGGATAAAGAACAACCCTGTATCTCTTTAAGCAGCTTCGTTATGATCCATTGGCAATGGAAGCTTATTGGGTTGCATATATCACCTGATATTGACTGATTTAGAGTTTTAAATACGCAACTGCCTGTTATAGAGAAAGGAAACCGACCTTTAAGAAATGCTAGGAAGAGGGGCGCCTGGGTGGCTCAGTCGGTTAAGCGGCCAACTTCGGCTCAGGTCATGATCTCGCGGTCGGTGAGTTCAAGCCCGGCGTCGGGCTCTGGGCTGACCAGCTCAGAGCCTGGAGCCTGTTTCGGATTCTGTGTCTCCCTCTCTCTCTGACCCTCCCCCGTTCATGCTCTGTCTCTCTCTGTCTCAAAAATAAATAAACGTTAAAAAAAAAAAAGAAAGAAATGCTAGGAAGATGTGAGAGAGTTACAAGGCACCAGAGGCAATTCAAGAGATGCATGATAAGAGTTTTAATAAGAGACATCATGATGGGAATATAAAACGTACCAAATAATAATCATAATTAATAATCATATTTATAAAAATAGATTTTGGAGTGATGCAGTACAGGGTTTAATAAATGACTGAACTTTAGGAGGTGACAAGGAAAGAGGATAGGGAAAATCAAGAAACACACAAGCATTTCTTGGGAACTGATTTAGTAATGGAGGTAGAGATTACTTAACATTTGCACATGTTTAACATGAGGTGCCCATCCCCAGAGTTTGGGAATTCATCCTACAAAAACCTGGAGTCTTAAAACGGTAAAGGACAGCTTTCAAATGACTAGTGTGGACCCACACTGTTGTCTAGAAAACAAATTGTCTGAGTTCCTGACAAAGATGTTGAATCAAGCCTTCTTGACTCCAGCCTGGGATCTATCTGTTCAGAAGGCCTGCTTTTAAAGAAACAAGACAAACCTATACGGCTTCCTGTTTGCTAAGTCTGACTTAGAACAGATACAAAGGTTCTAAGTTAGCAATCTTTTGCTAAATACATCAGCATAAATTAAATGAACTAACACATCAGTTTTCTCATTATTTTCATATAAGCCCCATTTTAAACCTTGCTAAGATCTCTGCAGTATTTCCTGAAGAAAAATGACAAACAGAAAATTCCACAAAAGGTCTTTGAAATCTGACCACTCAGATGACTAAGTATATAGTTAGGTCTGTAAGTCAGTTCTGTAACAAAATGTATTTCAATAATTACATTTTTTTTCTTTTTCAAATAAGCATTAACAAATAAATTTCCCAATAAGACTAGATTTAATTGAAATATCAATAGAGCTCCAATTGAATTATAATTCATGAGTTAAACTTCCCACTTTACTAGGTCCTAGTACAATCATTCAAAGGTAAGCAACAATTTACCCTTCATTATGAGAGTATAGGGTGCTTTGCAATTTTTTTCTGGATTTATAATGGCACATACCATTCCATTAGGCTTCATCTTTTATTATTAGTTCTTTAAAACAGCAAAGATTTTTCCCAAATTCCCCAAGTTTACACACACCAAAGAATTGAAATGCCAATTTATATAATCTTGAGTCAGGATTTTTCTAGAATTTAGCAAGATTTTAAACTACATCTTCAAGAAAACCTTGCCTGTGAGAGCTTTTAGGAATTTAGTCTTGTATTTCCTTTTCCTTTCTCAGCGAATCTGTAGTTGGATCTTGTATCTGGTATGCCAAAGATGCTCACTTCTGTTAGACTAAAGGGTTTTGATAAACCCATTTTCCAAAAATGAAAAGAACTAAAACAAAGAACTAAAAAACAAGAACTAAAAAACAAAAAACTAAACATTAAACACATCATTTAAATACAAAAACTTAGTAAATAGCGTTTTTATATATTAATCCCCCACAAATCTTACCTTTATGTAGCAAATTTCAAATTGTAAGACATACTTCTCTGGTTCTATAATGCAAAAGCTAATTAGCAATACAAATTACTTTTGGAACATATCACTTTCAACCAGGAAAAAAAAGAAAAAGAAAAAGAAATTAGTCTTTTTAATACTGTTTTCATACTACCAAAACCAGTATGAAAACATATAAAATTTTATACATACAGGAAAACCCACAACATGTGCACACATAGATCTCATATGTTTAATTAAATGGTATTTATTTATTTATTATTTATTTATTTATTCTCAAGTTGGCTAATATACAGTGTGGTCTTGGCTTCAGGAGTA